GGCTTTCGTAACTATGTGCTATCAAATTGCCACAGCATACCAAGGAACTGGTACAGATCAGGATCAATTTTATGTGAATTGTTTGGGAATGGGGGAGCTGCATTTTGTGGTTAGACAGATATCCCATGGGATAACCTTAAAATCACGGTAAAATCTCCTCACTTTAAAATGCCAGTGTTGCAGAGTCCAAAGGCTATTTTTTGTTTTTATTCCTAAATCAGAACGTTTTTGAGGAAAAGTTGGATTTTCACATTTGTTTTCAGTTACACTGGGTGGGGGAAATTGGTGCTGGTATTGGTGTGCCAACTCCTGTTTAGTTGTGTATGATGGAGATGGCGACGAAGCTTTGACTGCTGCTTCTTCACTGAATACTAAAGGTTGAACAATTTTAATTGAGAGGAAAAAGCAACCACATTGACTGTTTAGAGCAGAATATTATACTTGTCTCTGTTATTTGACAGTTCAAACTGTCAAAATTTTCCACTCTTGCGACTATACCCATCTCATTCCCAGAGCTCTCCCTCCCTTTCACCAGAATAAAGAGAAGTAAAACAGTTGGGGAGGAAAAAAGGTACCGTTCAAAAAGTATGAATCTCTGATTTTGTTCTTGAAATACACTTTTTGTCACTTCAGTTAGTGCTTATTGTTCCTAACATACCCTTAGGCTAAGTAGGTTATCCATACAAATGCATGGAAGAATTGCTTGTGGAAATGGGAAACACATGGGCCAAACATGTTAGAAACATCTTTGAACTGTGGGGAGAGACTGGCTTTTATCATCATCACCGTGCGAAGGCCGTAACATCTCAGTCAATGGAATTTCAGTGACATGGCAGGATAACCTTCTTGTTTTTCCTGGCTCACTACTTCTTCAGACCTCTGCTGTTTTTCTTGATGGGCAGAATATATATTTGAGGGTGTTATTTACTGTAGCAGCTGATCTTGGTGCAATTTCTAATACAAGCTGCAGCTAATTGCATATATTTTGTCTTCACAGCAATTTCCGATTCTTGATGATTGCTTTAGCCTATGCTATACCACTGGGTGTTTTCTCCGGCTGGTCTGGTGTTCTGGATTTGATACTAACACCAGTTCATGTAAGCCAGGTAAGTATCTCCTGACTGATAATCAGCAGCTGTGTTCTAAGTGGCATGTTTTTATTTTGCGCTAGCATACAACCTTATTGGTGTTGGGGTTTTTTTGTTGTTGTTTAAGCTGCTATTAATATGTACAGACCATTTTTCTCCTGAACTTTTAAACAAAATAAACTGTAGCTTTGGCATCCCAAATGGTCACGATTCTCCCTGCTGACTCTCCACCAACCGTGGGTATTTTCAGAACCGTACTCACCTTTTGACGAGAAGGAAGAGGCAGGTAAACAAATGGGAATGTTGTTGGCTACTGTACCTTTAGTAAAAGAAGATAATGTTTACCAGGTGGAAAAGATGAAGTGGGGAGAAGAGGATTTCTGAGTTTTTGATAGAGTATTGTAAAAATCTAGAGGTCATTACTGAGAGACATCACATTTGGGATATAGGCTACTTAGTCATACTCTTTTTAAGTGAATTTATTTCCTTTTGAATATCCTAGAAAAGGTCTTGAATTTCAGATTGTTGTCGGAGGCTGTTGCTAGCAGTGTGCAGCTCCTGCACACCATTTGTTTAGAAAGCAAGACCATCTTATTTTCTCAGTTTTAACGCATTTCTCTGTTTTTTTTTTTTTTGTCTTGTCAGGTAGATGCAGGCTGGATTGGTTTTTGGTCTATAGTTGGCGGTTGTGTTGTTGGCATAGCAATGGCAAGGTAGGAATAATTACATGTCCTTCTCCATTTCTTCAACTGTGATTGTCATTTAGCTTATCCTCTTAATAACGGAGCTTGTTTTCTCTCATCTTCTAGATGAAATGGAAAAAGCATAGTTCTGGGTTTACAGTGTGTTTCTTGTAGAGCAATGATTTGTGTATTCCATGTCAGTGGTTGCTGGGGGTTGAGAACTCCACACGCCTGTGCCTCTATTTGACAAGTCATACTGTGGCTCCTGACAAGTGCCTCCTGTACGCTCCTTTTAAACACAGTTCTTGTGAATCATCTGCCTGGGATGAGGGAGAACCCACTGTAGCACATTTGGAAGGCATTGAAGAAATCAGTGTCTCTCTCCTTCCATCAACACTTTTGGGCATGTTGTTTCCCAAAGAGATATTGGGAATGTAGCACAGGCAGCCTACCCACAATAACGTTATGTTTGGTCAGGTTGCTGGATTCTTATATGGCCTAACTATTTTTCGCATACTGCTAGGCTGGTATGGTTATACCTCCACGTTTTAAATATCCAGACACACTCTCTCTGGCCATCAGGAATGATAATGACATGGAGAGCAGAAAAGCAAGGAATGGATTGCCTTTCCAATGCTGCTTTTTCTTCGCTGAGGTGCCCTTATAATAAAAAAAAAAAAAAAAAAAAAAGGGGTGGAGTGGGGTGGGGTGTGAGATAGAAAAAGTCTTTCAGGAGGGACTCAAGCAGTGAGTTTATGAACCTGATCAAAACCAGTTGCATCTTCCCCTTGCATCTGGTGGATATCGAAGCATTATCCTGGCTTCTTTATGTCCACTCTTTAGACTCCAGTTCTGCAGACAGTGTAGCACAAGTGCAGGGGTCTGTCATCATTGCAGTCACTGTGGGATTTGTGGACCCAGGGTGGCATCTTTTTAGGACGGAAATTGAAGCGCTCTCTTTTTTATTTTTCACTTGCTGTGCATCATCAGAGTACACAATGCATAAAGAAATGTGAGGTTTCTCATCCTGACATTTTGCAGGCTGCCTAGCAACTGCAGTGGAGGGAGAGGAAAAATCTCCTGCCTATGGAAAAGAAACAAGTGCTTCCTTCCTGTCCACTCCAGATGCAGGCCAAAGGACTTAATCTATTGAAACGAAATTCACACCCTGATTTCCTCTAAAAATAGTTACTTTTGAGTAGCTAAGCTCAGATATAAGGTTTTCTCTCTGAGAGAAGTAGGTGTTGAAAACCAACTGCTGTAGATGAGACAGATGCCGTAGCAGGTTACGTGCTGAACCAGGTAGCGTGCCAGTTTAATCTTTTCCATCATGAGTTAATCTCTGGTGCATTTGCAGCATTTCAGTAGTAGAGGGGCACCCTTAGCAGCCCACTTAACTTTGTTAGGACAGAATCTGCTGACTCAGTGCCAACACACAAATCTCAATCTTTATGGTAGATTAATTTACTTAATATATTGCCTGGGTTAAGTTTCAGGAAATGCTGACAGTCTCTTTAACTTCTTCAAAATTGATTTTGAACTTTGTAGAATACCAATATTTTGTAGCATTCAGACCTTTGCTTTTGAGTAAATTTTGAGCCTCCAAATATGTCTTTCTCATGGGCGATACACAGTTCAAATGGGAGGGTTTGCACACAGAAAGGGAGGGAGGAGGTGATTTGTCACTCCTGATGGATGACTCTCCCTCCTAGGCCTATTCAGCATGTATCTGTGTAGGGCTGAATCAATGATGAGTCTGACTGTAATCTGCTGAAAGTTGTAATTAGGAAAATTAAGTAATGATTCTTGTCAAGGCTGACAAGTTGATGTATTTCAGTGTCAGAACTGTGATTTGCCAAGCAAGCAGCTCTTTCCTCTAACCACCTCTCAAGAAACTGTTGGGTTTTGTGGGTTTTTCTCCTAATTTTTTTTTCTGCTAATTTATCAAAGCAAAATTGGTGCAGTTGAGGAATTTGCTTCTTACATTTTTGTCAGTGCAGATTCTACCATCTAGAACTGTTAATAACCTGACCCTTGCCCTGGAGCATTTGGTCCTGCACTTCACAGTGGGTGTTAAATCATCTATATTTTCAAGTAATGCCCAGTTTGGAAATTTGTTTTTCGATCTCATTTTCAAAATGGTGCAAGTTTTCCTCAGCACAATACATAAATTGTTCTGCTCTTCACCTACTGCTGTCCCAAAAGCCATGAACTTAGATAGGTTTAGCTAATTTGTGTGATGCATTTTTATAATTGAAAAGCCTGGGCTATTTTGGGCTGCTGGCAGGTGATGGACCCTTTGCTGGCAGCTTTTAAATGATGCTGGCTTGAAGAAAAGCAGTGTCAAAGAGCGACATTCATATCATTGCATAGAAACATAAATCTATTCCCTTTTCTGAGATTTCTTTTTTTAATATTTACAAATGGTCATAGGTATTTCTGAGGTTTTATCCTCCAGGGCTCAGTTTTTCGTCCTGCTTTTAACCTGCAGTGTAGTCAAAATGCTGAAACTTTATGACATGGTGATGATTTCCTTAGCAACAGACAGTGTAGTCAGCAGTGCAGGTTTGTGATTTTAACTGTAGGATCCAGACTAGGGCTGGATTTGCTGGCTTGCAGGAGACTGTTCCCAGCAGAAGGCTCAGAGGTCTGTATCTGGGTAACTATACACCTCTCCTGGTGTGCCTACTTTTTTAGCAGCTGCAGACATCCCCTTACATGTTCAGTGATGAAGGACTTAAACAGAATAGAACGTTTTGAAAGCAGTTACTGGGGTCAGAATTAAAAATAATTTCTCTCATTTTTTGATGGAAGCGAGTCTTCTGAAGGGTTGACTAGATTTACAGTCGTCTTTATGCTCCTGTAACCAGACAAGAAGCAGAAGTCCCTTGATGACCAAGTTCGGGCTAGTTTGCTATGTCATTTTTTTCCCCCCATTATTTCTGTTGCTGACTGAATTAACTAACTGCATAAACCTTTCAGTTTGTATTTGACCCTTCTGGAGCCCTGTGATGTCTCAGAGCTCGTTGGAGCACGCTGCTACCACTGATACCCAAACCATTATCTTTGTGTCAGAGTTGCAGCTGCTCAGTACAGGTAGATATTTACCTATATCTAGGTAATAAGATAATAATAATATATTATTACCTATATCTAGGTAATAATAATAAGCTCCGCTTAACTATATTGAATAGTTTAGTAGCATATCATCCTACCATCT